AGGCCAGCCTGGATTACATAGTGACACTCTGTCTCAAAAAAATAATAACAACACTAACCCCAAACATCTTCAGCTCACTTGTGGATGAAACACTCTTCTACGCACCAAACCTGACCGGGTCTAGCACAACACTGGAAGAGAGTCGCAGCCAGGTTAGGCACCACATCATCCATCTCCTTTACTTAATCACGATTTCTCAGTTAAAATAGCCAGATAGTGCCCATAAAACCAAGCATGTAGTGCAGTTCTGGTTTTTATTCTAAGTTGAAAAGAGCCTTTGGATGCACTGAATGCCTAGAAAGTCCAGTGTCCTTTTCGCTTTTGCTCCCTCTACCCAGCCCTACCTCACACTTTATCTCAGTGAGGCAGTCAGGTCAGAACACCAGGCTGGGAAGACTCCCAGCCCCAAGTGGCGGCAATTAACATAGAGTGGCCTCTGCTAATGAGTCAGATGAGAGGACAAGCCTTTTCACTCTTCATGAGGTGGAGGAAGGGCTCAAACAGGGCAAAGGATTTGTCGCATGCCACAGCAATGGGATGAATCCTAAAATGTCCTTGTCAGAGCATGTCCTGGTGAGGGAAAAAGCAAGGCCCTCTGCAGGCGCTCAGCCCCCTTCGGCAAGACTGAGCACTGGAGATTTCCAAGATAAGAACCCACGCAGCCAGCTAGAGGTAAGTGACTTGCCCAGGGTCACCCGGTGAGTTAGTGAGAGCAGGAAAATTAGGATTGATATTCTTTGTGTTTCTAATTCACTACTTCATATGCTAGAATGAAGAATTACTCCATATAATAAAGCCCCAGGGCTATTACTGCCTGACTCAGAAACTGAACAAATTATAACAGGCTCAGAGTTTTAAAAGAATCAGTTGGAAACTTAAAAATGGATTGAAATGTACAGCCTGCAGAGATAGCACCGGTCACCATTAATGAAAAAGAAAAGGAGGAAATGGTGTGGACTTTGAAATACATCACCTGGACCTCCATGCCGGCTGCCACCACGCCTTTGATAGTTAGTGTTTCACTCACAGTTACTACTCACCTATCACACACCACACAGGATAGTAACAGGGAATAAGTCAGAGCTCCCACTCTCAGACGTGCAGTCTTAATAGCTCTTTCCCAGTTAGAGTCAGGACCCTCTATGCGCCTTGCCCCCGATGAGCAACTCTTCCCACTCAAGTTCATAAAAAGAGCACCTGTCTAGCAGATACTAGGTCTTGGGTTCAATTCCTCAGGATGGCAAATAATAATAATTAATTAATTAATTAATTAAAAAGAAAATACAGTTTCTCCAAACAGTCATGAACAGGAATTTGATATTTATTGTGTCTCCTAAAGAAGTGGTGCAAGGGGCTCAGTAGAATAAGTGCTTCCCCAGCAAGCACAAGGGCCTGAGTTCAATCCCCGATTCTGCGGAAAAAAAAAAAGAATTGGTGCAGATTGTAGTAGCGCTATTGGAATACAAGCATATTCTACCAAATGCCTAAAAGACCCATACCTAATTTAAAAGATCATCTCCTTTTCTTTTTTCTTTTTTTTCCTGTATTTTAGGGAGGGTTCTACAGGGTGTACATGGATCTCACTGTGTAGATTGGACTCATAGTGATCCGCCTGTTTACAGCCTCCCAAGAGCTGGGATTACAGGTTTGTGTCACCGCGCCCAATCTGAATTGCTGTCTCAGTGCACCCCTGGGGGGCGGGGCTGGCAATGATCAAACCCCGGCTGGGATTGAACTCAGGCCCTTAAGCTTGTCAGGGAAGCGCTTATTCTACTGGGCCATCTCGCCACCCCTTTCCTTTTCTTTTTAATCCCTCACTGAATAGTACTTTTCTCCAATTCCTTTTCATTAACAACTATTAGGACTCAAAGAATTTGCATTCTCAAAAACTGTGTCCCTCAGCTCTCATGTTTATGTTGTCCCAGGTAAGTCCCTGTACTCTCACTTAAGCCTGGGTGCTTTATTACTTATACATATCTTAATATTGTGGAGAATTTTCCAGAATTATGAACAATTTTAAGATTTTCCTAACTCTGCTGCTTCTTGAGGCAAATAGGTCCAATATTAGATTCCTCCATCACACATCATTGCTTTCTGGTCCTGATTTCTACTATCTGAGTTGATTACCACTGACATAAAGAAGCCTGCCTTGCATGGTGACACATCCTGCAATCCCAGGACTGAGAAGGCTGAGGCAAGGGGACTGCACATTCAAGTCCAGCTTGACCACCACAGCCTGGATTACATAGCAAGACTCTCTCAAAACAAGAAGAGAAAGTAGTGTGTCTGAATTTTTCTTTCTTCCTATTCTCTTTAGGTTCTAGAAGACAGTGTCTCACTGTGTGGCCCAGGCTGGCTTCAGATTTGTGGCACTCCGCCTGTCTTGGCCTCTCAAGTGCTGGGCTTGTAGGTGTGCACCACCACACCCAGCAGGAAGGTATAAATGTTCTGTGTTCCTAAACTTCTATTTTCTATCTAAGAAAGGCTAACAGCTTCATCCCTCTAAGTTTCAGGCTAAGAATGCTTTCTGTAGTTTGTCCCACAGAGAAAAATGTCACAAATCACCTGAGTATCACCCCATGGGTGGCATAAAAATTAAATAAAGTGTTGTACAAATCCAAGACAGCAACCAGCTCTAGGTCAAAGAACCCAGACTACAGGGCTCTCCTCTGCAGCAGCAGAGCACAAGCAAGACTTCTTACTCCTCATCCTGAAGGGTCTCTTCCTCCTCCTGAATCTGTAACTGGTTCTTCACCGGAGCCAGGTTCTCGGTCTTGGCGTTGTAGTTCCGAAAGCAGACGTTGAGCTTCTCATCAAATTCATTCACGAGGTCCTCCATGGACTTGAAGCTGATTATTTCAGAAGAAAAATTCTCCAGCTCAGAGAGGGAGGGGTCCTCTAGGTGGTGAGGAGATGAGCCGTAGAAACAGCGGGGCTTCTCGTCCTGGTCCTCAGAGCAGCAGGGCCGAAGGTCCTCAAACTCCTCATCTAAACTCACCAGGGGGGCCTCCATCCTTGCAGCACGACAACAGAGACTTTCAGGACTTGTTTCCCTAGGAGAAATAAGCAAGGCAATGTGAATCTTCCCTGGGCATTTGTGCCAGTCCTGCCAGGAAACCAGGGTGACATATTCCATTATCTATGTCCCTCAGAAAACAATGGTTCCACTTTCCTGAAATCCATAGTCTGTACTCGCTCTCTCCTGTGTGCACGGAGAGTCCCCACATCACTGAGTAGGTTAACTGCAAGGACTCGGAGGTACATCTGCTCCACGCAGCAGTGGTCACCGACCCGACGTCCGCCCCAGTGTGCTTCCTATCCGGCTTCTACCAGCTATGAACTTAGGCAAGTTCCTTAATTTCTCTATACTTCTCTTTTATTCTTCTCATGACAGCAATAATAACAGGCTCTTCCCCAAAGGGTTGTTAAAAGATAAAAGGAGTGCACATACACACACACACACACACACACACACACACCCCTGTACGTGATAGATAATACCAACAACACTGGGCTGGGATATAGTTCAGCCAAGGATGTATGAAGCCCTGCTTTCAGTTCTTAATACCACAAAATAAATAAATAAATAAATAAATAAATAAATAGGTAGATGAATAAATAAATGCCACACTGTTTCACTTTTTTTGTTGTTGTTATTACTATCATCGTAGATCTTTGTCTCTAACTAGTCTCTAAACACTGCAAATTTTTCCTAACTCATTTAACAAAAAAAATAAAATAATTAAAGACAGGGATGGTTATGGTTTCAACTTCCTCTACTTAGTGTTTTAATGCAGAATCATTAAAATTTTAGGTTGTAGGATTGGCTTGGGGCTGCTGCTCACTGCTAGAGCATAAATTTTACGTCCATGAGGTCCTGGGTTCAGTCCACAGCACCAAATAAACTCCTAGCTACCCTAGACCTGGGTGAACGAAATGCAGAATATATGCGCTGCTCCTACCTTTCCCAATTTGAAATAATCTAACTTCTGAAATATGCCAGACCCCAAGGGTTTTGGCTAAGGCATTGTGGACCCAGATATTATTCACTCTTTTTTAAAAAAAAAAAAAAATTTGTTTTGGGCAGGGAGGGTTGTTTGTCTATTTTATATGCTACTGGAGATTGAACCCAGAGCCTCTGGACTAAACTACATTCCCAACCCTTTTTCTGTTTTTCACTTTGACACCAGGTTCTGCCAAGTTGCCTAACCTGGGCTAAAATTTTTGGTCCTCTGCCTTAGCCTCCCAGAATGATGAGATTACAGTATGCGCCACCCAAATCTGGTTATTTGTTTTTTGAGAAAGGGTCTCACCATGTAGTCCAGGCTGAACTTGAATCAGCAAGTAGCCCAGGCTGACCTCAAACTCCTAATTCTTCAGCCTCAGACTCTGAGTACAGGATTGGCCTTCAACAGGCCAACCTAGACTACATAATGAGACTCTGTCTCAACAAACAAACAAAAAAAAGCAGACTAATAGGTCCGGCCAAATAGCTCAGCGGATTAAAGCACCTGCAAGCAGGCACAGGGCCAGGGTTCGATCCCCAGGCCTTCCATGCCAGCGCCAGCCCCGCCCCCAGGGCGCATTGAGATGGTAATTGAGACTGGGCATGGTGCATGCCTGTAATCCCAGCTCTTGGGAGGCTGTAAACAGGCAGATCACTGCAAGTCTGATCTAGTAGTGAGACCCTGAACAC